AATAACATCCCATAAGCTTGTGCTGTCAGCCACCTGTGCTCTTGTGCAGTAATAAAACACCTATAAGGAATATTAAGCGTGCACACAGAAATGTGTTGTTATGCCCTCAACAGTAAGGTTATGTTCGCTGTTACGTCGAGAAATAGGTTCATGGTTTGTGCTAAATGTATTTCTCGAGCTGGTGAATTAATGTGATATGTGATGAATCTGATGGTCGCATTACTCCAGGAATAACACGAAGCAGTACCAGCTCCAATCACTAGATGTCGCCATTTAGTCGAGCACTGCTGTGGCCAGTGGACGTGTAGAGTACACTACTCATATATTTAATTCTTCTCTGTTTTACTGTTTATGAAATAGACATACACATGTGTTTTACATGATGTTAATATTATGTTTTTATAGATGCATCAGGAAAAAAGCATTTGAGACAGAGGGAAAACTCTGGTGATGTTGCTCAGTGTTAAAAAATACTTATTTACTATGAATTACATATTATTTATTTAATTAAATAAAAAATATTGTGTGGAAATTGTATGACAATGCCAGCCATTTTATATTAAGAATGGTGTTTTTTTTATATATATATATGCACGTTTTTAAACTAAACTATTTGTAAAGCTATTGCAGTCGTTCATCTTTATGTCAATGTCTTTTGCGTAATCTAGTTTGCATCCAAAGAAAACATAATTTTGACAAATTGTGTGTGAATATTGAAATCTTCAATGGTGGTGTGTCACAATAATGTGCACAATAATAAATATTTTGTTTATGCATACATAAAAAATTTTTTATAAAAAGCAAATGAATTATTTTATTCAGCAATGGAGCATTAAATTATTTAACATTGACAGTAAAACATAATATTACAAAACACGAATAAATGCTGTTCTTTTGAACTTTCTATTCATCAAAGAATGTTTACAATAAAAATGTATCGCAGATTCCACAAAAATATTAAGCAGCAAAAACGTTTCAACAATAGACCTTTATTAATAATTGAGCCCCAATAATAACGGAGCATCAAACCAGCATGTTAGAATGATTTCTGAAGCTGTAAATTCAGCTTGAGCATCACAGGAATAAATTATACTTTAAATGAAAGCAGTCATTTGAAATTGTAATTCTTTTTCTCAATATTAGGCCTCCTGTCTTTACTGTATGTTTGGATCAAATAAATGCAGCGTTTGTGAGTTATTTCAAAAAACGTCAAAACTTTAATTATTCCGAACGTGTTTGTTATATACTTTTATTATTATTATTATTGATCTCCAACATATAATATAAAGGTACTGAACAAATATAAACTACAAAAAAGAAATCGAAAATCTCGCTATATTAGCGAAGGATGGCGCGGCGTCACGGCCGCGCAGGTCTCGCGCAGCGTGAGCTTATAAAGGATTGTGATTGGTCCGTCCGCACGCGCGTGGCTCGAACAGGTGCAGGTGTGTGATGGACCTGCGGCGTTGTATCTGCTGGGCAGCGGTCTTTGCGTTACTGACAGGTAATTCTCTTGCCTCTCGCTTTTATAGGAGCGGTAGGACGGTGATATTTATGCTCCTCAAAGATCCCTCCGGTTCTTGAAAAAATAATAACCGTAATGATAATAAATATAGGAGAAACCGGGGCTAGTTGTCACAAAGCTACATCTCAGTTTTGAGCGGAAAGTCCAGTTTCACAAGTGTGTGTGATTGGTTTCGTATGTTGGTTTGAAACGCCCTCTTAAAGAAGACTATTTTATCAATTCTGCTCTTTAAGCTAAAATTCTAATATCATATTTTTGGTGTAGTATAGGATTAATATCAAGTAAACATCATAAAAGCATTTACACACTCTAAAAAATGCTGTTTTTTTTTTAATATAACCCAGCGCTGGGTCAAAAAGGGACAACCCCAGCTATTGGGTCGTTTTGACCCAGGGGTTGGGTCGTATTGACCCAGGGGTTGGGTCGTTTTGACCCAGGGGTTGGGTCGTACTGACAGTTTAGCTCCAGCTTGGCTCAACACACCTGCTTTGAAGTTTCTAGTATAGTTAGACCTTGATTAGCTGGTTCAGGTTTAATTAGGATTGGAGAAACTCTGCAGGCCCTCCAGGACCGAGTTTGGTGACCCCTGCTATAGACTTTTATATTGTTACAAAACAATTTCTATTTTCAAAAAATGCTGTTCTTTTGAACTTTCTATTCATCAAATAAAAACTGATAAAAAATAATCAAGGTTTCCACAAAAATATTATTCAGCACCACAGTTTTCAACATTGATGATAATAATAAATGTTTCTTGAGCAGCAAATCAGCATATTAGAATGATTTCTGAAGATCATGTGACACTGAAGACTGGAGTAATGATACTGAAAATACAGCTTTGATCACAGCAATAAATTACATTTTATAATATATTCACATAGAAAAAATTTATTTTAAACTGTCATAATATTTCACAATATTACGTTTTTTATTGTATTTTAAAATTGTTACATGTATGTTACATTATGTATTTGTGTGTTTGTATATATGTATATATGTATATATATATATATATATGTATGTGTATATATATATGTGTATATATACATGTATATATATGTGTATTTATTTATTTATTTATTTATTTATTTATTTGCTGAATTGTTTTAAATTTCGTTGTACAAGGGTCAGCATGTGTTCAGTTTTCATACATTCATGAAGACCTTGTCTTTCAGTGCCTTGGAAATGTCTCTTCTGTCATGACTGTTTTCACTCAATTCAAAATTCAGCAATGAATCATTAAATATAGAGCATGTATGTCTTTCACAATTGCGGGAAGAAAACTATATAATCGGCCACAAATAATTAAAATCTTTGAAACATGTATTTATATCATTTTTACTTAGACGTTCGTGTGATTTTTTTTTTTTTTTTTTTTTTTTTTTTTTTCTTGATGATAATAATAAATGTTTCTTGAGCAGCAAATCAGCATATTAGAATGATTTCTGAAGATCATGTGACACTGAAGACTGGAGTAATGATACTGAAAATACAGCTTTGATCACAGCAATAAATTACATTTTATAATATATTCACATAGAAAAAATTTATTTTAAACTGTCATAATATTTCACAATATTACGTTTTTTATTGTATTTTAAAATTGTTACATGTATGTTACATTATGTATTTGTGTGTTTGTATATATGTATATACAGTGTGTGTGTGTGTATATGTATATATATATATGTATGTGTATATATATGTGTATATATACATGTGTATATATATGTGTATTTATTTATTTATTTATTTATTTATTTATTTGCTGAATTGTTTTAAATTTCGTTGTACAAGGGTCAGCATGTGTTCAGTTTTCATACATTCATGAAGACCTTGTCTTTCAGTGCCTTGGAAATGTCTCTTCTGTCATGACTGTTTTCACTCAATTCAAAATTCAGCAATGAATCATTAAATATAGAGCATGTATGTCTTTCACAATTGCGGGAAGAAAACTATATAATCGGCCACAAATAATTAAAATCTTTGAAACATGTATTTATATCATTTTTACTTAGACGTTCGTGTGATTTTTTTTTTTTTTTTTTTTTTTTTTTTCACGTTTTCATTTGACCTACAAAAAACATCCAGATTGTATAAAGTATTGAGTCATCGTAATCCATGTGTGTCAAGAGCATTTAATGTGAGTGGCAGCTGTGAATGATGTTTCAGGTGTTGACGGAGGCTGTGGCAGAAATCAGTGGCAGTGTGATGATGGAGTGTGTGTGTCGCACAGATGGCGCTGTGACGGTGTCAGTGACTGCCAGGATGGGTCTGATGAGATGGAGTGCAGTATGTAGCCTTTATGCTCGCTTGTTGAATTAATTAGATTGCATCTGGCTGATTCTATGGAAGGAGGACACAAATAAACAAGTGTATTTTTTGCCATTAGTATGTCAGCCTGGAGATGTGGAGTGTGCGGATGGCTCCGGGTGTGTGATTGGGTCGGGTGTTTGTGACGGCCGGCCCCAGTGTCCCGATGCTTCAGATGAGTGGGACTGCAGCTGGCATTTAGGGTGTCTGTCAGGTGACTGGAAGTGCAAGAACAACATCTGCATCCCACAAAATCTTCTCTGCAATGACGTCAACGACTGCGGGGATAACTCTGATGAAGAAACCTGTGGTGAGATGCTCTAGAAGTGCTAATCCCTCATTAAACAATGTATGAATGTCAGTGCATTATCAACCTTAGGCTTTAACTGACTTTTAGTGGGACCATTTGGTTCAAATAAATGCAAGAAGAGACGACCTCTAATTATCCATGCCCTAACACGAGTGATACGGGGCCAACCTATTCATAAATGCGAAATGGGAAGGATTCAGATGAATGTATTTAAATGTATTAAAGGGATAGTTCACCCAAAAATGAATATTACCCTCAAGTAGGGCTGTGCAATTAATCGCATGCCATTGTCATGCGCATCTCGTCAGTAAAGCCGGTTCTGTGATTAGTAGTAAATCTCCATCACCTGCTTTCAGATGGAGCAGCATTTAATACACAGAGCCGTAGTTCACTGATAAGCTAGGCGATATCGTGTTCATAATTGAATGCGATTCATCTGCGATTATGAACGGGATATTGTCAGTGAACTACGGCTCTGTGTAGTAAATGCTGCTCCATCTGAAAGCAGGTGATGGCTATTTACTACTAATCACAGAACCGGCTTTACTGACGAGATGCGCATGACAATGGCATGCGATGTCGCATGGAGCACTTTATGATGGATGGATGCACTTCATTGGGCTTCAAAATCTCAACCACCAGCCATTATAAAGCTTGGAAGAGCCAGG